TAATTATTTAGTCTTAGTCTACTAAATCTATTTATATTTCAACCCTGTGTTTCTTTGTGTTGCCCGATTCCCCTTTCCGGGTGGGGAGGGGTCATCGGGTGATAAAATAATTGTCTAAATGACAAGAGGTTGTTATGGGTTTTCTCAAACCATAACAAAGCTAAAAGCCCAGTTTGCTTCAATGGAAATTAAAGGTCTCCATTGGAGCTGTGGCAAATAAACATTGGCTATGTTATAGAATTAAAGGCTTTTAGTGCAGATGGTTACAGAAGGGCAGGAATATGAACCTACAAGCTTTGAAATGCCTTTCTGGGGCTCTGTTTGTTTCTCTAGAAGTTCTCTGACAGTTTCTGCTTGCATGGCCGGCACAGTGGCACTTAGTGTGAGACTTCGGCTGGATGGGAATGACTTTGGACATAAGTGCATAATGGACGCTGGAGTTGAACCTTTGATATAAAATAGGCCACACGCTTTTCACAATGGAATAATAAAAGCAATTAATTTTGTGGTGTGCTAATGAGTTAAGCATGAGATGTTTATAAATTAGGTAATGAAGGCACTTTATACTAAGATGTTTGTGCCAGATACTGCTGGAATCAGGCTGTGACTTTGAAGATAGTTGCAAAGTTCATCTTTGACAACGTTGGGCATTTTTGACATTGTAGGGTGGATGTGATGTATTTTTACTCATGGAATGAAATATCTGGTTTATATTGCACAGTTTTTAGCCAGAGGAAATAGTTTACAAGGGTGTGAGTAAAACTGGACAGTTTGGAGAGGGACTCCTCCTATAGGATTAAATATCTCAAGTCTGTTGTTTGTTTTGCTATTACAGCTGAGAAATTGCATTGCTGACAATAAATGCTGGGGAACGTACCTGACTGCAGTAATAAGTAAGTTTAAACTTTGTCTTGCTGCTACCACTCTGAAGATATCTATGATAAATAACTTTCACATTATTATTTATTGTGATGAACTCTAACTCTCCTGTTCTTAATTTAACAGCCAATACACAAATCATCTGGTGCATATTCTGTGGTGGGTTCTGAAAAAAAAATCCCATCCATTTGATTATATGTTAACTTGGAATGTATATTTTCAATCCATGGAATAAAATGTTTGAACAGAGAAGAAGGCCCAACTTACTGAATAATATTATCTATTGCAAATTACCTTTTCACCTCTCATCAGCATTATACCTTTATCTCAGAGTGTAATGGAAGGCGGGTATTAATATTCAAAACCAACACAGGGCATTAGATATTACATATCACTGTACAGAAGATCCAGAAATAGATGATTTACTTTAAAGGGGATAATCAAAGAAAGCTAATCAAAAAGCTAATCAAAAAGAATATTTAAAGTTGCCTTGATCATGATCCATAGGTACATATACACGGAGAAGATAACAAGTACCAAAGGTTCTTTCAGCTTTCAGAGATGAATGCATAATATAAATTGCTGGGAGTTTGGAGTGGACAAGTAAGATCCCAGCCTGTAAATTGGGGAGAAAAAGAGGACAAGCATGCAACAAATCATCTCTTAGATGGGTTATGGTAAGTATTCTCTTATTAAGCTGTTTAAATGGGGATTGGGTAATTTTCTCACAACCTGACTGCTTTCTTCTTTAGGCACCAGCTCAGGAAAGTAAGGGTGCAATTCTGTCGTGTTTTTATGCAGGAAGTCAGATAATTCATCAATATGAGCCCTTCTTACTTTAACAATCTGACAGAACAAGCCTTGCAGTGTGCCTAAGAGGAGATACGGTCACATGGAACAGATTACTGCTGAAGAAGAGGAAATATGTAAAAGTTAATAACGAGGAGGGGGGCGATTTGAGGATGTTTCAAGAAGAGTTTTGAAGAAAGAGAACTCCTGGCAGTTGATGTCAGGGATAGAAGAAGTTCAAAGGAAAGTATAAAACTAAATCAGGAGAAGGAAACCAAAGGAGATACAAGATAAAGAGTGCTCTGAGCATGAGGAATAGATCAGGAGAGAAAAAACAGTGATTTAGAAGCAGGATAAATAATAAAGAGCTTTGCAGATGTGAATTAAGGGCCTGAATTTTTTTCAGTGAAGACATCAGCTGAAGGATTCGAGTGGTCTGTACAGTATTTTGAAGCCATGAAAGAAGCAGAAGACAGGCTGTGAGGAAGAAGTTTCCAGCAGTTAAAAGAATTACGAGAAGAAGAAACAAAAGTAGTCAATGACACACCGTAAGATTATATACGTGACCCGCTGATCAAAGCAGAGAGTGACATTGCTAATCTAAAAACCTTTCTTTGCAGAAGTGAAAAAACAAACCGTCCTGTTCACCATCCACTCCCTTCCTCCTCAGATAATTTTGCTCACTGTTGTGAGCCAACGCTAGCGAGTTCTGGGGCAGAGGAGTAGTTAGCAAGAAAAGCGTGCATCAATAGCTGTTGCTTTGGTTACAAAGGCACATGAGCATGGATAGTCGTGACAAGTTATTTTCAGCTTTACACCATGAAATAGAAAGAATATTAATAACAAAAAAAAAAAAAAGATTGTTACCTCTGCTTACCTCTGCTTGGTCTCTCCGTGGTGGAAAGTCCCAGTGCAGTGTCACATGCTACATCATCCTGCATAATTGTTGCCGTGTGCTCTAACGACATTGAAGTCACCCCTGATGCTGAGTGCACAGAACTCATCAGCTCGGGGAGGAAAAGGTTGTTACTGGTGCTGGGGATATGTCTCCACAAGCAGCGTTTCTTAAGTGCTAGCTATTAACTTGAGTGGGAGCGGTACTGGGTTGGTCTCTCCGTGGTCTCTCCAGTGCAGTGTCACATGCTACATCATCCTGCATAATTGTTGCCGTGTGCTCTAACGACATTGAAGTCACCCCTGATGCTGAGTGCACAGAACTCATCAGCTCGGGGAGGAAAAGGTTGTTACTGGTGCTGGGGATATGTCTCCACAAGCAGCGTTTCTTAAGTGCTAGCTATTAACTTGAGTGGGAGCGGTACTGGGCACCCAGCTGCCTCCAGTGCCTGTGTGTCAGCAGATAGATACCGCCGAATCCCTAGCCCAGCCCACGCTAAGGCATATGCACAAAAGGCACAAAATTGCAGAGCAATCTCTGTCTCCCAGTGAAAATCAAGCGCGGTGGGGGATCAAACAAATGGTTAGATCTCTACTGACATTTCAAAGCTGCTGCAGACAAAGATGACAGCCGCTCAGGTTGAGGCGGAAGGCAGAGGAGGAGTGGGAATGGGGCACAAACAGCATGGTGGTGGCTCTTGATACCATGGGGGTCCAGGGAGGCCCACGCATGAACTCTCCATCAGGAAAAAAAAAGAGCTGCAAGCTCCGGACTGAAGCAGAGATGAAACAGAGTCCTACCATGGCCAAAATAATTTTGGATGGTGATGCTGATGTTGTATGATGACGGTAACGGCTGGAGGTGATTCAGTAGCCCCACTTTTGGTCTGGTTCGTATCCACCTTAGCCCAACCACAGCTTCTGATTTAGACTCTGTGAAGAGGCATTGCAATGAATCTTGTCCTTCATGCCACCTTTTCGGCCCTGCTACATAGCAGGACAGTCTGAACCACCAGGGGAAAGAACAGCTATGACAGCTCCTCCTTTAAAGGTTTATTCTTTGAAGCTTCATGTCCATGACATGAAGAAGGGAAGTCAATGGATACCAGTGTTAAGGGACAGAAAAAGACATTCCATTCGAAGAAATGACCCCTTCATAAAACCTATTTGTGAACTCAAGATTTTAAACGAGTCTGACCCAGTGGGGAAAAAAATCAAACTGTTCTGTACAGAAGAAATTCTCTGCTGGAAAGCATATAAGAAAGTTCACAGGCACTGCAAACACTAGCCCAGTGGGTAATTCTCTGAATGAGATGCACTTTGCACTCACAGCAGTACTGAAATTCAGCAGCTCCCAGGACTGAGATTTATTCCATTTTACCTATGAGAATGCAACTAATAATAGTTTTAAAAAGGAAGAGTTTACCTTGTGATGGAAGGTAAGAGACCAGTTTCTGATTGTTATTACTCTGGCTTGTGTCAGACATATTTTGCACCACTACACATAAGGTACAGATGTCATAGATGTTCTCACAGAATAAACCCAAAAATAAATTAGATCAGAATCAGACCCTGAAATTTTATTGCAAGGGACATATATTGTTCCTAGTATCATTAAATTCCTCGCATAGACAAGGAGGACCTGAGGGCCAGGTCCACTCTGGAATGTGGAAGAGTCTTCCACCGCCTGAGAACCCAAATGCTGCAGTCCCTCTGAAATGCACTTTGACTGTGTTGATACTGGGGAGGAGGTGAACTCTGGGGCACCACTGTTTTTGACAAGCTCCAGCAACAACAAGCTGCTCCCAGCAAAGAATCTGTTATCCATCACCTCCAAGTTTGTGTGAGAGCTCTCCTCGGGGCAGAGGGGGGTACTCTTAAACTTGAATTCATGCTGATGTGGCTGAACAGCCATATGAAATAAGTATCACTCAAGAGATGAGTCTCATTAAAGTCAACGGTCTAGTCCCCACAGAAGCAATCTTTGTAGACTGGGGTCTTACCCAGCCATCCTTCACAGAGCACTTTAGATTCCTCTGAGACCATTCGTTACAGTCATTTTTTTTCCTCCCCTTCCGGTTGAAGAGTTTGGAAAGGTGTCAGAGGATTAGTATCATGCAAATTGCAGAAGGAAAGTGTCACTAAGGTAGGAAGACTTCACAAAAAGTAGCTTAGGGGACTATACAGTATCCAGAATTAAATTTTATAGCAGTCCATAAAATTGAAGTATGAGCCAAGGGTTAACAACCTTGAATTTTGCCCTTAAAATTAGTCCAAGAAAATCTAGTTCATTATAAATACAGTAGCACTATATAGTGTCCTGTTGATTGATATGCCCAAGAGCTACCTTTGTCGGCAGTCTTTTAAGCAGTAATCCTTCATTTTGGTCTTAATAGTGAGATGGGCACCTCCTTCCTCATTGGGCTATCAATTTTTACCTGCCAATACAGTTTGATGAGCTTGCTTGTATGCTGCTCAGTGCCTCCTGTCAGCCAGTACATATAGTCAGCAATCATGGCGCTCCTGATGACAAAAGCAGAATAAATGAGTGTTCAGGGAGAGAAGGATGTATATAGCAATATTCAAAGGAGGTAGTATTAAAAGAGTGTAACATGAGGTTTGTATCAAAGGATTACACATAACTCTCAGTCTTTATCCAACTTTAAGACAAGCTTTAGTAAACATTTTTTAGCTAAACCCTGTGTTTTCTTTTAATAGCTTTTCCATATTTTACTCTGAGCAAATATTTAATGACTACTATACAATATTTTAGTCTGGCTTTTCTTTTTTTTTTTTTTCTTTAAAATATTTGTCAGTGAGATATCTTATGTGTAAGTACATTTCTTCCAGGACAGCATCAACAGATATAATGCCCTGTAGCTTGGTAGTCTGAGAATATCACTTGTCTATAACAAACTCAGACATAGTTCACCTTTGATTAAACTATATCTTTAAAAAAATCCCTAAACCAAAAGTAATCAGCTATCTTGCTACCTAATTGAGTATGCTTTAGTACTCCCACTGTCTGTGACAATCATTGCATTACTCTTTCTAGACTGAAGGATATTAAGAAACTATTGTGCAATGGATATTAATGCAGAGTCTTAACAGACTTTAGAAAATCAGTTTGCTTTTATGGCTGCTTCTCTACACTGCACTCCGTTTCCTTTCCTCTAGAGATTCCAAATCCAATTAAATGTGACTAGATGTAATTCCAAATTGTCACTTTAGTCAATTAAACATATAATAATCTTGTGTACCTAATTACTAGCACCAAAAGTTTATTTGTTGATGTAGTGCTATCAATGTGTACTTCTGCATGTTCTCCTTATCATTGCCTATATATTAATTGTGCTTTGACATTACTGTAAATTGAATTTGAAATTTCCCCCTAGTTAAAAGTGTCTCACAAACAGTAATCCCAATCCTGCTGTAATACCCTTTTAGAATGTACTTTCCAAGGCAGTATTATGTTCTTAATGAGATATAACCAAAAATACACGGATTTAACAATAAACATTTCAAAACAGGCCCGGTATCAGGAGGTAACACATTGTTACAAACAGGAACTAAATCTTCCCTTAGATGTTCTCACACAGCTCCCACTAATTTCACTGGGAGAAAAGCAATTCAGGAGGATCCACGGATTTCTGCATAAGGACTGGATTTAGCCATAAGCTTTATCCAATGCTCGTTTAAATCATTGGCAAAAATCCTCTTGACTGCACTAGAACAAAGAGCAGTTTCTAATTGAACATCGTTAGCCCAGCCGGCACGGGGTGAACAAAGGATGAAATCCTCATTGCCCTGAAAATCATTGGCAAAATTTGCATTGACTCCAAATGGTGCCAAGGTTTAATCCCAGGAATGACATATGGATCCTGTGGATGAAGCAGAGGATGAAGCAGCCAGCACTAGCTCCTTGACCTGGGATTGGCCACAAACTGCCTGTTGGTGATGGTTTTGGGGAAAGATGTTCACTGTGTCCTGACGTGCAAAAGGGAAATAACCACGTGGCATAAAATGGGGAAAGATTAATCTGTCACATTATTCTGTACCTTTTGGTCTACTAGAGGTGGTCTACAAAGCTTCCAGCTCCTGTGACAGTGGCAATAGCTGGCTAGGAACCAGCATACACAAGCAGTGGTGGCCTCCTGTGGCCTCCTCATCAAAATGGGACTTTCAATCTAAATTTAGAGCAATTCTCAAGCACTAAAGCCTTGTTTTTGGAGTCAAAGGACATTTGTAAATGGTCATTTACAATTTGGGCTCCTACAGATATATCACCACTCAAGCACTGTCATTTCCAAGATTAAAACCAACAAATCCTTAACCCTGAGTGACACCCTGTCGGTGTGTGCTGTGGGTCAAACACAATCAGGTGACACAGAGACAGCCACGATGCGCTTTGCCACCTGCTTTCATAGGTGGAGATGTCCACAGAGCCCTGGGCAAATCTGGACTCACTTCTCAGACAAGTTGCTTCATCTTTCTCTGCTTCTCAGCATCAGCTGTGAAATGTGGGCGATCGTATTTGACTGATTTGCTAATTTGGTGTGTGAGTCCTCCTGGCACAATCTTTTGCTAATTCTTCGCCGTGGTCTCAGCACAATGTCACTCTGATCGTAGCAGAGGTCTCCAGGCATCCTTGCTCTCCAGACAAATGCCTTTCCTCTGTATTCTTCCTTCTTAATTTGTTCTTTTTTTAAATAATCAGAAGCACACTTACATCTGAAGCATTCCTGTTTAGTTTTTCAACATCTGCTTTTATCCCTGCTAGATTTCTCCCGTACTGCTGTGCATTACATCAAGAATGGTGAGGCACATCCATAAAACCCCTCTGAGCATTTCAAGTGCCTCCATCACATTTTTCCTTCTCAGTTCCTCAGCCATCGGGGAGCACACACAGGTCAGGACCTACGCTTGCTACTGTGACCTTGGGGCTTATGAGGGACTTAAAAAATGTCTACTTTCAAAAGAAACACAAGCATTAAGGTTCTATGTGGATGGCCTGTGTCCTGCCCCAAACGCTCCCAAGTCAGAGAGTCTTCTTTGAAGGGCTCCCAGGATCAGCTCAAAGAACCACAGTGACACATGTGAGAGGGAACTATGAATTTCCAGAGGCAGGGACATAGGTGAAATGGCACTATCTGAATAGTTACAGGGCTGGGCAATGAAAAATATTTCGGGACCTGAACACTCAGAAACCAAGGGACAAATTGGCATATTTAGGGAAGTTAAAAGCCAGGGTCCCATTGTATGAAGTATATCATATTAGTGTATTATACATACTATATATGACTTAGGATAGTATAAAGACAACCCATATTAGCATTTCAGCAGTATGTATGGGCCAGAGGAAGTCCTTCTTCCCACCTCCTGCAGTTACAGCTCCTGGGGAAATGGGAGCTTGTGAAGAACTGGGTGGAAAAGGGTTCAGTGCAGGTCAGTTGGGACTGGTGGCTACGTCCTGTGGAGATGCTGGACAAGTGATGTTGGCCAGCTCTGACTTGTACCTCTTGAGTGACTACTTAAGAGTTCGGCTTTGAACCTTCCTGTGCACAAGGAACATATGGTACAAAAGAATGTGAAAATAGCTCCCATTTAGACCATGGAATGCATTTTTCTGGATGAAATGCCACGTTTTATTTTTACAGTTTTTAAGGCTAGTGGGATCAAACTCTAACGATAACAAAGATATGTGCATTCTCTTTCTACTTCTGACACTATCACTTCAGGTGATATTCAGAAACATCGGCCTCATATTTACAGAACCATCCACCAGTTTTGAGTTACTCATTTGAAATACTGAAGAACTTGCCTGAGCTTCAGGTGTGCAGCCCACCACAGTGCTCTGTTTGCCATGCGAACCGAAGTAGTTCTGACAATACACCTTAGGGGATGTCGGAGACAATATGACTCTTCCTTCTCTCAAAGCATGAGGCTTTATTTTAAAATGCTTTTTTTTTCCCCTAGTTGCTAGTTTGGGCCAGTATGGGCTGGTGTGAACTTCTCTAACGTAATTAAATCCACCTGGGTTAATTCAGTAAGCCTGGATCCAAAGGTGCCTTGCAATATCTGCTCAATCCAGCCACTTGGTGGTGCAGAACAATAAGATATATTTCTAGACGTGCGAGCGAAGAGCACACCACAGATCCTAAACTGTCTCCCTCAGCCCATCTCCAGACAGGCACAGGACTTGTAATAAAAGAGTGGAAGGCAGCTCTTGCTGCCTGACAGCTGCTGACACTAAGAGCCCCTGCACAGCCAAATCCTTCGCAGCAGCCCCATAAGTGGGTGACAAGAAAATGGATGGTCCGGGTCTAAGCAACACGCAGAGTTTTCTGGAATGCACCAAAGTGTTACGCTGCCAAAGATGACAAGAAATTAGCCTTGTTGTTAAATGCTCGTGTGTTCATTTACCACTGCGAGTACTAGAAAAAAACCACATAAGGGCAAGACTCAAGGTCAGCTCCCTCAGCCTTGCCTGCTCCCCCCTTGCTGCAGGGAAGGGGAAGAAGGCCTGAAGGGGAGAGGAGGATTTCTCTGCAGATGGCAGAGCCATAGGGATAATCACAGCCTATGCACATTAGAGTAACTTTCACTCTTCTGCGCTATTCAGCCCCAATTGCTGCTAAGATCAGGAGGCTGATAAGTGGCAGAAAATTACCTTTACTCCCTACCTCAAGTGATCTCACCTGGATCTGCAGTAAGTGGTACTAAAGGAAGGCCTCAGCCAGTGCCATGTGATGTCAGTCCTGGGTAGATCTACCGCTGGGAAAGGGTAAGTGTGCCTCATTTTTTTCACTTTAAGAGGGATTTTAATATTCCTGATGCAGACAACCGAGTATTTGAGATCTCTAATACAATAGGACTGAGTCTGAGATACGAGATACAAAATAAACTGCTGCTCTCTTTTGGTTGACCTTCTTATTTCCTTCTGAGAATAGAAAAGGGAAGTAATGTTTGTAACTGGAATAAATAGGAGGTAGTAATTTTAATGCAATTATCCTATTTGAAAAGTGAACACAATAATAACAGCTAATTTTTAAGCATCTCCATATACCCTAAATAATTGTAAACTCATTACTTTGAGGTTGTGGACACACTTGGAAACCATTAGATGATGGGAGATAAACAGAACTCCAGAACACTGAGCAGGAATGAAATTACAAATGCCAGGATTTACCTGTATGTACACTAGCCCTGAAATGGGGCAAAAAGTATTCTGAGAACCCCTGTTACCTATGCAAAACCCCTTGCTGTTGCAAATAGCTGCAGATGTCTAGCTAAAACTTAATTTTGAGCGTTTCACCAGTGAAACTTAAATGCCCTGGAAGCTGCTGTAAAACTCTTCTGTCTTGCCAGACCCTTCCAGGTTAGTGAAGGGGTAGGCTTGCTGTCTTTGCTGAAGTTTCTGGGTTTCTGGGTCAGTAGCCCATTGCTAGAAAGCAGAAATGATTTTCCTGCAAGGAAAATGGCACCTGTGTTTAGAATGCATTTATTATATTTATTATTCTCTG